ATTCAAAGGATGTTGAATAAAGTTTTCATACCTTTCATACTTCTGGCACAAAATCAGGAGCAGCTTGGCAGACAACTCTCATTTTGGAGTGATTTACACTCAGATCTGTCACAGGACATAAAACTAATGTGGGTTCAGATCCACTGAGATAAAATATTAAGACATATCTGGATGAACAACTTTTCCAGTTTTCCATTGCCTGAGTCTGTAGACAACCAGATGTTTAAGCAAAATTGCTGGTCAAAGAAACACTAAAATCCAGCCTGACATGACACCAGGGCAGCTTTTTATTCTTTAGCAATTACAGTCCACTAAACAACTTATTCTTTCAAAGATATAAATGAAGGGTTACTTTACCTCTTTCTTACATTGTCTTTACTTCTGTCAGTAATTTTTTCTTTTTACCTTTTACCACTTATTCTCCTGCCCGTTTGAGTATTTAAACCTAGGAATAGACAATTCCTAGATTTAATGAAGGAAAGCCCTTTTCCCCCTTCCTTTCCTGCATACACATTCCTTGTGCATGGTCTGTGCTTACACCCAGATGCACTGCACAGCCCTTGGCTGGAGATTCAGCTCTAGACCAACTCCAAAGCCATGGAGGATTTTGTTAAAAAATCAGAGTCAAGGCTGAGATAATTTTATTTATTCTGCACATGTCTATACAGATGCACATGGCAATGGGAATTTCCCATTATCATTGGATTTGGCTGCTATTGCACATAGATTGCTGCTGATCTCTTTCCTAAGTAGTTATTGGTGCTCTGATGGACAAAAGAAACTCCAGGCAATAAAACTCCAAAGGAATTAAAAACCTCAATCAGCCTGGTGCAGCTATGCACATCTTAATTGCCCTGGATATCATATTTAAAACATTTATAAAAGCAAATCATTAATGCTTCTGTTTAGTTACTGTGCAGGTGCCTCCAACTGGCTCCTGATTGTGCCTAATTAAACAGTTCTAAACATTAATGCATCAGCGAGCTTCAGCAGTTGCCGTTTAATGAAGTTGTGCCGAAATGTTTCATCTGGGAGATTTTTTTGGGGGGTGAATGTATGTGCTTGGGGCCACCTGGTGGAGCTGAACTACAGTGCACGGAACGTGATGCTGCCCGGCCCGGGGCGGACTCACCTGGTCAGTCCCGGGCATCCCGAGCATCCCATCCCACCAGGACATCCAGCCCTGGGTGCTCTCCTTTATGGATTCACCTCTCCAGCCCCGGGCATCCCAGGCATCCCAACCCTGCCAGGACATCCAGCCCTGGGTGCTCTCATTTTGGGACTCACCTCTCCACTCCCGGGCATGAGGAATGCCTGAGGGAGCTGGGGGGGCTCAGCCTGGAGCAAAGGAGACTCAGGGCTGCCCCCATCACTCTCACAGCTCCTGAAAGGTGCCTGTGCTCAGCTGGGGCTGGGCTCTGTCTGCAGCAGCACTGACACAGCCAGAGCACACAGCCTCAAGGGAAATACAGGCTGGATAGCAGGGAAAAGTTTTTTACAGAAAGGGTGATAAAGTTCTGGAATGGCTGCCCAGGGAGGAGGTGCAGTCCCCATCCCTGGGTGTGTTAACAAAGCCTGGATGTGGCACTGGGGGCCAGGGTTCAGTTGAGGTGTTGGGGCTGGGCTGGACTCGATGATCTTGAAGGTCTCTCCCAACCTTGTGATTCTGTGATATCCCACCCTGCCAGGACATCCAGCCCTGGGTGCTCTCCTTTATGGACTCACCTGGCCACTCCTAGAATCTACAGAACAGCCAGCCCCATGGGCTCTCCTCTATCTGCTGCCCATGGAATTTCTCTGCTAAACCCTGGCTTGTTTCAAATTGTGTCCTTTATAACTCTTCTAGACCAAGAACTGACATATTTTCAGCCAGCACATCACTGCCCCTAATCATCAGCATCCTGGGGAAATTTGATCAGTCTAAACAATTAAATTCATGTATACACGAAACTCAGATAAATTATTTATGAGCCAATTGACATTTACAACACTGGTGCTGTTAGTACTCAATATACTGTGTACATTGTTATGAGGTTACTGTTGTAAAAGTATTCATGCTTCCATAATAAACTTGTGATAAATTCCAGTCTTTGACCTTTACAATATTTAGGGCTCTTGTACAAGTTTAACAGGAGGCTGTGACTTAAAGCAGACATCTGCTATCTTTAATGTTGAGTAACACTTCATGCCAAGAATGGCCTTATTGACTTCAATGAAATTGTTGTGTAATTACTTTTTTCTTTTTCTTTTTCTTTTTTTTTGGTTTTCTAAATGTAGTAGAAACTTGCCAACCATTGCTGCAGTCATTTCAAATTGCTCTTGACTTGAAAGAGAGCACAGTGATGCAGGATAATTAAATAGAAGAGGTAAATGGAAGAACAAGCTCTACATGAGTAGAGGAAAACAAAATAAAATGGCCAATTGTCTTGGACAGGAGGGGACTGCAAAACAAACACTTCAGGGTTTGAACATGGCCTCATGGTTTGGTACTGGTAACAATAAAGGGCTCCTTGTTCATCTTTCACTTGGATTCTTGGAAGCCTCTCTCCATTTCTCCTGGATTCTGTGTAATAAAGAAGGCAGAACTTTGAAGCTGCTCACAGCAGGAATTTGTTCTAACCCAAATTTACTGGAAATAGCCCCAGGAAGGGTAAAGCAGGGTGAAACAGTGTATTAATACACTTCCAGGCTGCACTCCCCTTTAGGAATGCCATTTGTTGCTCTGTCCCAGGAATCCCACAGTGTGACTGCACAGGATCTGCATCCCCAGCCCTGGGAATCACTGAATTCTGGGGGCTGTGCTCTCTGCAGGCTGCCTGAGGGCTCCAGGAGCAACGTGCCAGGGGTTTCCCAGCAGGAATCACATCTTGCTGCTGTTCTGGGGGCTTCCTCAGCCACTAATCATGTCACTGATTTGTAGGAGCAGAAAAACAGGATTTTCTGCTCGATGAGAATGAGACCAATTTCTAACTGGTAGCTCTGAGCAACTGCAAAAACGATTTCCTAACCCAGGAAACAACACCAGGGACTTAATTCCTCTTTAAATTCTGTGATGCTGTGAGACTGAGTGCATTGTGGCAAAAGCATTATTTTACTTTTTCCTCACATCAACTGCAGGCTGAAGTGCCTGGTCAGGAAGTGCAGAAGTGGAAGCACCCTTAATTCCATGGCTAATTGGGATGCATTGATGATATTTTGTCAGACTCATAGCACAGGTCAGAGGAGAGCTGAAACATCCTGGTTCCATGAATGCCACTGAAGGCAAATTAAAATTATACATGAGCCCTTTGTGCTGTTTGGAACTGAGGTGGCAAAACTTTGTTTCCCTACTTGAACCCTGGAATTTATTCTTCTCAGCACTTATTAAGTCATAATTTATGTGCTTATTTAAATACCAAAGTCATTTCTGTCTGGCCCATCTAGCATGATGTAGGTTACTGTCAAATGAAGATACTTGGTTTAATTTGTGTAATTTTCAATATATATTAGAGGAAATACTTTACCAGTGCTCAAGAAGATGAAGGACAGAGAAAGCATTGAGGAGTATTAACTTCTGGATGCCTGGAAAATACATTCACAATTTCATTATTTGCTGAAAGATAAGCTTGGTGCTTATTTTTGCACTGTGACAGCCTCATTTTCTTTGCCTTCTATATTATCTATATTTAAAAAATCAGCAGCTCTGCAGCTTGAGTAGGCTAAGGAGCTGATTGAGTCTGTGTGTATGTGTGTGACTGCTAATTTTGCACATTTTGCTGCAGTTCCTCAGAGTAAAGACTGCTAATTAATTAAAGGGTGATTGAATCCCAAGCAGTCGGTGTTCCAAGCCAGTTTTGTCATTAATGTTGCCTAGCAGGGGCAGTGTACGGCATTCCTGTAATAATCCCACAATTTTGGACACTGACAGCTCCCTGAGCTGGCAAATCCAAATGCATTTCTCCAGGTGAGCCAGAGATTGCTGACCATATCTAAATGATAACAAATGATAACAGCTGTTGATAATGATGAAATCCAATTTAGATTATCTTCCCTTAGCCTGGTGCCACCAGTGTGAATGCAGGTCACTGGTTATGTCACCAATATTTAGGTTTCATTTTATGAGGCAGCTTTGTCTCAGAAGTAGAAATAAGGAATTCCTGTCACTGGGCATCTCCTCCTTAGAAAGTCCAAGGCAAATATTAAATATTTATTTGTCTTTTTAAACATATTATGCAATTTTATGCATTGATTTATAAATAAAGATAATTGAACAAACTTGAGCAAAATCAGTTCATGCATATTTTACTTTTTGAGACTGCAGACAGATTTTAATTAACTGGTTTTAAATAATGAGCTTTTATGCTGTTTGGGGGTAGAAAGGAAGCTGTTTAGCATCATGCTACACCAACATTTCTGTGTGTAAATATTCAACTGCAGAGCTGCTTTTGGCAAAATGATGCCTTTCTGCTGGGCAAGTACCCACAAAAGGATCCTGTTGTGGATTCAGCCACAAATTACAAGGTTTTGAAGAGGATTTTGACTCAAACTAAATGAAATTGTGCCATTCCTATAGAATTCCTTACTGGTCAAAATGGGTTCTGTGCATTTATCATAATCAATGTGGAGTCACAAGGGCAATAATGATTAGCTAATTATTGTTGGGGTTCAGGGAAGAACCTAATATTTCCCTGAATGCTTCATTTCTGCAGACAGAAAAGAACAGGGCAGCTCTGTTGGCAACTCGGCCCTCAAATAAAACAGAATTTCTGTTGAAGTTTCCTTTTAGTGGAAGGTTTGACATGTTCTGTGCTCTAATTTGTTCTAGAGGGAATATTTAACTCAACCTCAGTGGCAGTGGGCTACAAGAAAGCAATAGTTCTTACCAGAGTTAAGTTAGAGGTTCTTTAACTGGGTTGGCAGTGAAATTGCAAAGATATACATGAGCTAAAATGCTTTAAAATCTTCAGGAAGGCATTTAATTAAGCACACTGAAAAATAAGGAATACAGCTCTTTTTTTTTTCCTATTATATTGTCTACGCTGATTATTCTGAGGTATATTTTTTTCCATTTCCTACTGAATTTTTTATTTGAAAGAATAGTACAAATAAAAGAGAATTGCTACTTTTAGAGAAAGACATGAGAAAACCCAATATCTTCAAGCATCTATTTATACATTTTCTTCTTGAATAATTCATCCTTCTTTGGTCCCCAGTGTAGTTAATGATAATTTCTAAATGTGGTGAGTAATCATTTTCTTAGATTTGTTGGATATGACAAAAAAGGCAAAAAAATTTATACATGAACACATCTGACTAGTTTCAAGGTACTAAAATTTTTAAATAATCTCCTTTTTTAGGATCTTCAGCCTTATCATTTTGTCTTCCAGTCTTGTAATTTTTGACTCTTAGGATTCATATTCTCATGTCTTTTTTTCTGCTAGTAAAAAATACTGAGTGTTTTCTGAATAGTGTACATGAACTACTCATTATTTGCATACATGGAAATGGAAGGTTAATTTAGTAAAATAATGAAAAAAATTTAAAAATAACTTTATAATTTTTTAGGTGGTTTCAAAACTGTGGATCCCCATTTTGCCCAATAGTCATTAAATGTGGACATGTTTTTTGGGAACTGGCATTCCATCCAAGTCTCCTACACTCAGGTGGAATAAATTGAATTAATTCATCCTTGGAGTCAAATTAAAAGTTTGTTTATGCTTAATTTTCATCCTCTTTCATTTTTTAAAATCTCTTTTTTCACATTTCTTTTTCTTCATGTTCTTTTTCGTCTTCTTCCTTCTTTCTTCTTCTTCTTCTTCTTTGTCTTTCTTTTCTTCTGTCTCAATCTACTTTGCTTTTTTCTTCCTTCAAAGTGTTCACACCTTCTCCCAGCCCCATTTTCTTGCTGTGGATAATCAAAACATATTTATTGAACAGCATTTCAGATTGTGGTGGAGAAAGGGGCTAAATTGCCAGCTGATGTTTCAATGCTGGCATTAACATAATTAATAGGAGTGATCCTCTTCATGCTCAAGAACTGGAATTGAGACAAGTTAAGATTTACAGTGGTACAAAAATATCAGGGCATTCTCCCATCAATAGAATCCCAAAATAACCTCAATTTCTCCTTACTTCTGAAGGGACCATGACTTGCTCTCATTTGTAATTTTTTGCAACTGCAAAGAGCAGTTGAAAGTAGTTGACTCTAATTTCTGCTAGAGGCAGGGAGAAAAGGAGATCTTGAGATTTAGAGTTGCAAACAAAGGTTTTAGCAGTGGAGTGGAGAGAGCCACTTTTGAATAAGGGAAATAGTCTTGTGATTTGTTTTAATGCTGCTTTCAATCCATGGATTTGGGCTGGAAATTCCCATCCATGCTTTCAGGACTAGGTCCTTTAGATCCTGGCCCAGAAAACTTGTTTGGGTTTATTATTTCCTGGCTTTTGAAGGAAGCATCTGGATATATCAGGAAGGAAATATCACAAGGTCTATTTGTTATGTGTGAGGGTATACATTTTTATTTTTAATGAAATCTGCAGTCTTTAACTGCAGTTTGAGAAGCTGCTCATGGGCACACCACTGAATCACCAGTGGACTCAAGTACTGGAATGTTTCCACCTATGAGTGCAGTTTTATGACACAACAATTGTAAATGTTAATTAGTGACTTTTGAGAATGGCACTAAGATCTGAGTTTACAAGGTTTAAATATAAATGTACATAGATGGAGAGATAAAAGAAGTGTGATCTCATCTGACTTTAAACTGTGAAAATATAGTAATGGAACTTCAAATGTAGTGATGGAAAGATTTAGCAAATATTGCAGAACAAATATGTGATTTTATAGGCATAAAAGGCAATTTTTTTTCATCTGCAAGTACTTACAGGTCAGGAACACAGGATCTTTGCTCAGAATTTTCCTTTCAGTAAGTAAAGACACAATAGTTTTTTGCAATTGTATGATCTTCACAGACCTGGCAGAAAGACAAATTTGTAACTTTGGTTTACCAGGAATAATTAGAAGGGGAATTTCTGTGCTGGAGAACTTAAATCTTAAAAAAAAATGGGAGTATGCTACCTGTTGTAGTATTGGTGATTCAAACCATGGAATCATAGAATTTTTTAGGCTGGAAAAGATCATTGAGCCCAAAAATTAACCCAGCACTGCCCCTGTCTCAGACTCAGGATGGAAAGCAGAAGCTCCTGCCAGGGAGAAATCCATATTTCCTAACTCTGGCACAGAGCTGCCATCTCCTTTTGAATTTTCTGTGCCTTTCAAGCCATCCTGAGAACCAGAGCAGTATTAAATTGCATTCCTGTCGAGAGAATGGAAAAGTAAGGCGAAAGCTTCAGGAGCTTTCCTTGACAATAAACCTATTGCAGTAACTTATTTTGTATCTAAGACAGCAAATAAGGCTCAGGAAATGTATGAGCAGCCAGCCTGGTTGTTTAAAGTGTCTGATTCACCCTCTGAAATGTAAAGTGCCTTGGATAAAGAAATGCAAACAGAAAAATACAAAGGAATCAAAATCAGGTATTTCTTGAAAAGCCGTAGCTCTGTATAGATGATAATGATACATGCAGATAAAAATGAGAGAGTGAGGGAGTGAAAAAGGCTTAAGTTCAGCTCCTGAGCTGAACTGGATGTTGCCATTATGCTTTATACCTTTAATTGTGTCATCCAGCTCCTTTATAAAGCCCCTTCTGCAGCAGCCTGATACTTTTGATGTTCCAGAGATTAGACACAGGCAAAACCAGCCCTGTGCACTGTGGGCACCTCTGCTACACCAACACCTTGCAGTATTTGCATCAATACTTTAAAATTTAGAATGCTTTCTTTACTCAAAATAGGTTTATTTTTTCAAAACAGCTACAAGATGAAAGGGAAAAAACAAAAAAGCTCTTTTTCCTTTGAAGAAAATATCGATTTCAAAGCACAAAAAGCCATCACAGTCTAAAGTGAGATGAAGATAACAGTTCCTAACCAAAGCACCACAGCCAAAGAACAGCAGTTCTTAGGAATCATTAAAAGAATTACATAAATATTAAAGAACCTGAATATTACAGAATGTATCATAACACTTCTTTGCATATATATTTATTATGAAAGTATTAGTTCAAACTGTTGAATGAATCAAACCTTGTCATGCCACATGGGAAAGCTACCAATTATTTAATTTACTGTTATTTCCTGCTACATGTCTGTACTAAAATAACTGCCAGGGCACACATTATAATCTGTGCTCTTAAAAACTTGCATTTCACCTTACCACTGTTAGAACAAAGGCAGCAATGACACTCAGTGGTGTTTCAAACCAAAATTAAAATCCTTTAGAATCAAAATTCTGTAACAATTCCAAAAGATCTGGTTCCTCTCCCCAATAACTTCTCTATCTTCAAAGTAAATCAAGTACCTTTAGTTGGAACCAAGATCCTCCCAAGGTGATTTTGAGTTCTGGGTGAGCTTTCCCAGCCAGAAGTCTGACCTGTGAAAAAAGAACATAAATGTCCCCATATTTTGAAAGTATTTACACCTGCTAAGCAATCTTAGAGCTTATGTCACAAGGGGATGTAATTTTTAATAAATTTACTGTCTATTTAATAGATATATAAATATGTAAAGCAGAAGTTGTCATTCATATGTGGTCAGTGTATAATTTCAGTAAATTTAATTGCTTTGTTTCAAAATTCCGCTTTGTTTCAAAACATAGTTGAAATAAGTTGGAGTGTCTCATTGAAAACTGGAAAATGAAGGGTTTAGACTCAGTTAATTCCTTCACTGAAAGGATCTGATTTCTGGAAAATCTGTTTTTATTTTCCATGCAAGGCCAAACAGTAGAAACAATTTTTTCACAGAGAAATAAAAAAGAAAAAATGGAAAAATAAAAAAAAAAGAAAAAAAGAGAGAAAAGGACAATTCATCACTTCCCTGGGGTGCCCAGCAGATATTCCCTGGTTGGGCACATTTCACACCCTTCTGCTGTGACCTGTGCTTTGCTGACTCCATCCACCCTTCCACAAAAAGCAGGCAAGGTACCACAGAGGGAGATGATAGATATTGCTGCTTGTTCATTCATAACCTTCTTCTCAAAATCCCTTTTCCTGTATTTATCTGCTGACCAAATGAGAGTACAAATGCTAAAATAGGTGTCTGAGACAGCTGGAGTGATGATTTGAAGACTGTGCAAAACAAATGTTTCTCCTTGTTTATATTTGTGCTTCCTGTGCTTTGTTTTGTGCTTTGTTCAAATCTGAAAGGAGAACCATTTCCTAGTGGAGAAGAGCCAAGAAGCAGATCAGAAAATGAGATATTTCAGTGTTCTATACAGATTAATACCTCTTTTTCATCTAACCTTATGCAAACATCTTGGTTAGGGCCTGGATTTGTATCTGCACCAAAAACTGAGCTGAATAACAAAAGAGGAAGGAGTTCTGAAGGATTTATGCAGATCTTGTTGATCGTCTAGTTATTAAAAAAAAACAAAACCAAAAAACAGGAGTGGTGGGCCAGAGACCTGTTTGAGAAAAGCAAAAACAAAAACCATCTTTATCTCTTCTGCAAAAGGGAAAATCCCACTTAAGTGCAGAGAGAGGTTAAAGTGACAGGTCAGAAGTGGCTCAGAAGACAAGAGGGAATCTTTCAGAGAGCTTTAGCTAAAGCCCTGGGATTTGGAGTCCAAATCCCAGAAAGAAGATGAGAGCAAATGCTGCTCTAATGAGCTCTAATGCCAATTATAAATGGCATCCTCTGCTTGCTCATGAAACTGCATGTGGCAGCTGCAAGCAACACGTGGGCTTTTTAAATCATCTGGATTTCTTCCACAAAGCAAAAAAAAAATACATCCCTATTACTTCTTTTTATGAGATCCACCTCTGGTGCCTTCTGCTTAATGATCAGTGCAGTATATGAAACATCAGTCAACAAAAAGCAGCACAAACAAGCCACATTCCTTGCCTGATTTATCTCCTGTGTGGCTGCAGGAGGGAATGTGGGAAATGCCTCTTCCTTGCCCTGTTAGAGGCTGCAGATTACAGTAAGCACATTTTCAATATTTACCCAGTGCCCCTGGGCTCAGGGCTGTGGTGTTTTCAGAGAAAAGCCTCTTGCAGGTGTTCATAATTTAATTCCTTACTGAGACCCCTCAGATCTGTGTCAATGAATGGCTTTTTAAGAGGCTGACATTATATTTAAAAAGTATGTTCCTATTTGACTTTTCAGGTAGGAATCCATTTTTTTAATACACTGAAGAATTGCTTTCATTTCAGATTCATGAGCCTCAGGGAAAGAGGAGGAGAAAAGTTATGTAGATATTTTCTCCTCAGAGTTTCCAACCTTTAACATGTCTGAAAATGCACCAGTAAACAAAGCAACCTACCTAAAATGCTTTAACAATTGCTAAAACATTTTTTGTCCCCCCTGCCCTAACCTACACACATTTTAGGGATCTTTGTGAAAAAGCTCCCATTTAAGAGCAAATGATATCTCTTTCATCCTCTTTTACAAGTTGGACTTCACAGGAAATTCTGTGAAGTCTCTTCCCCTAGCAACTTCTGCTACTTTATAAATTAGATTTGGCCAAACCTACTCCATTTCTGTGCCACAGAAGTCCAGAGTAAAACCAGTCTTAAACCTTTATTCAATTTTTTGTTGTTTTTTTTTTTTTTTTTGCATTTTCACACTGTAGCAGATCAGAGACTGTACAGCAGTTAATAAGGTAATAAGTACAACATGAAAATTTGCCGTGCACTCTATTTATCACTATTATAAATCCTATTACAAACAGCCCTTGGAGATTAAAAATTAAATCAATGGTTTTGTCTTATATAGTGTCGATATAAAAAAGAACAGTGCTGGTCCAGAAATTTTTTGTCTATATTGGCAATTCAGAGTACAAATAGGGAAGAATTAATGAACGATGTCAGGTATAAAAAGAGTCTTTCTGAAAAAAATTTTTCGTTTAAGCCCAGCTGATTTTGCTAGAAATTGGAATCTTAAACAAACCCTAGCTCTGAACATTTATCCAAAAATCTGAATTCAACATGGTATTCATTTCACCTTAATTTTGCATTTCATAGTTGTGTAATTTAAGATGTTCATTTACCCTCCCTTTGCAGTCAGTGTAGAAGAGCAGCATCTTCAGAGAGGAACCATCCTGTCTATTCAGATTTTATGAAGGGATAAATCTCTTGATGAGGTGTCCATATGTGGTGATATGGCTGAGTACAATGCTATTCAGAAAAACAAAAATAAAGGCAGATGAACAGATGTTAATTAAAAATATTTTAAGGCTTTAGTTCCCATGAGAATTAAAATGCTTTCTAATTTTATCTTTTTTTCTTTTACTATTATTTCACTTCTGCCTTATTTTAAGGTAATATGACAACATTGATAAGTCAGGCTTAAAAATAATCCCTTTGTGAAACACATTTAAAAATATGCATGGATTTTATTCAATCACCTACTTACATGTCTGTTTTATGCCACCTAGGCTCATGAACTTGGCACTGAGAGTGACACTGCACTTACAAGAAGTCCTTTAAACTGATTTATAATATCTTGATAGAGGATGCAGCCAAGCCTAGAGATTTCTGCTTTGTCACACATTTTAGCAGATTATTTTAAGCATACAGAGCTGAGTTCACAAATCAGGGGGAATGATTCAGTGTTGCTGTAAAAGGAGGTAAAAATTCCAAAAGAGTGCTGAAATTCCTTTTGAAGATTGCCATTTTTAACACCAGCCAATCACTCCCATTGGCAGGGACACCATTTCAGTTTTAAATTCTAGGCAATCTCTGCTTCTCATAACTTGTTGCTCAGTTCCCAGCACTGATTTCTCACCAGGACCCCAAGCTTGACCCAAATGAGGATAATCCTCTTCCTTTCAAAATCAATGCATCATAAATGGGCAGCGGCACCACGCAGTGTTTTATTTGTTTTTCATTTGGAAGGTGTTATTTTATGATCTTTAAATAAGAAGGGGAAAAAAATTAAATATATAAGACTGCCCATCTCCTGTCCCCTTCTCCAAAAGTTTCAGCTCCCCCTCTGTAATTTTCTGTGAAAGTGATTCCCACATTCTGAGTGGCAGCCCTGCTGTTTGCAGAGGTTCCATTCTCCTCTGCCAAAGGCTAAAAATATGTCTGGTCACCAGTGCATCCAAGGTAATCCTATTCATATGCTGATGGTCCTTGAAAAGCCCTTCATTCCAACCTGGCAATGCCTAAGAGTTACCTAATTCCTTTTGATTCTGCTTTTCCAGAATAGAATTTTCCCCTTAGTCCTGACAGCCTCAAAGTGAAAGGGTAAAATAGGCCAATGCTCAGAAAGATGAATGGGTTGGATGAAGCAAATCCATCTTTCATGAGAGTAATGCTAAAATTCACCCTCCTGTCCCACAGCTACCTGTAAATTATGGCACTGGTTTAAAAATAATGAAATTTTTGAACGCAGAAACTTGGATTGGATTCCTTTGTATTTTCACCGCAGGCACGTTTTCTCACAAGCAGGGGGTGGAATGGTCCAGGACAGTGCAGGGAGGGGTGGGGAGGCAAGAGAAAAGAAATTTATTTGGCTCATGGAATATAAATTCCTGGAGCTTGATTCTCAGTATTGGAATTTTAACTAAAAGAAGAAATTTTCCTCTTTCCTGCTGAAATGTGAGAGGGTCCTGAGCACATCCCCTCTGGAGGGGAAGGGACAGCTCCCCTGTCCTTGGGAGCTCCTTGGTGCTCAGGCCTGGCTTGATCCCCAGCACCTGCTACTCCACAGCCACCCTCACCCACCCTGACAAACTTTTCATGCAGAAAACATCAGCTTCTCTTGCAAAAGACAAAAATACATTGTGCAGAAATGCAATTAAGGTTATAGCTCTGAAGAAAAATAGATGGAGCACACCCATAACTAACTACAATCTCTTAGCTCTGATAAATCAGTGCAGAAACTGGAGCTAAAAAAAGTCTATAATATTACCAGGATTACATATTGAACTGTCTAAAGTTTCCTAATGGGTTTTTGTCCTGCTCCTCACTTATTGGCTTCCCCAGTAGCAGCTCAGATCTGCAATGTTGCAAAAAATGATCATTTTCCACGTGTGAACTTCTGTTCTGTTCATCCCTCCCTTGCCAGGGAGATTCTCTCAGAAAACACAGGGATCCCACAAAAATGAACACAGGTCATGAATTATTCAAAACAAGTATTCATATCTACAGAATTAATAATATATGTTGAGGCAGAGTCATTATTTTTCAAACCTCTTTTTTGCAACTTGACTCATTGCTCTTTGCATGCAAAAATACATCCATAGAAGCTATATTATTACCTACTAAATATTGTTTCCACAAATCCAAATGTTAGCTGGTTTTTCCTTTCAGATACTTCAGATTAGGGCCATGAGTTTAAATATCTGGCACAGATCCCAGGAGGGGGATTTTGCTAAGGCACTAGACGATGCAGGTTTGGGGCAGAAGATAAAAAAAACACATATTTAGAACCATATGTGCTGGTACAGCAGAGCAGGGAAGAAGTTGTAATATATGAAAACACATTTGGATCAGACTTTTCCCTCCAAATAGCATCAAAACCTAGGTTTTCAACAGTGCACAGCCTAGGAATTCTAAATTGTTCTCTCAGGCTCACGTCCAAAGAAGGCTCCATGATGTGACCACCACAGATCTGTGAGCCCACATTTTTAAGGCAGCCAATGTGCAAAGGCTGAAAAACCATCTCAGAAGACAACAAGGAGCCAATCCAACATGCAAAGGGTCAAAAACCATCTCAGAAAACAACAAGGAGCCAATCCAATGTGCAAAGGGTCAAAAACCATCTCAGAAAACAACAAGGAGCCAATCCAACCCTACTCTGCTACCAGACAGGGCCATCCCATCCTTCTCTTGGCCCTGCATCTACACAATCGCCCTGGAGTCATTGCTGGTGTTTTCTAGCCCATGGGGAACCTGCAGTTCACTTTTCCAATGGAATCAAAGCATTTAATTTTTGGAGGGTGCATTTCTGGATTCATGCAGAACTGCAGGAATAGTAATGCTTGCTCAAAGAGACAGGAGGGAACTCTCAGCTGGAAGAGGTCAAGCCAAAAAAAACCCTTGAGATAGAGAAGCCTGACAGTCTCAAAAATGCATTTATTCTGTAGCAAAGCTTTGAAATATTGTGCATAGCAGGCTCATATCCACAGAAAATGTCAACTAAATAAGTTCTAAAGAAATTTTAACACAGAGATTAAATGTCAACTAAATAATTTGTAAAGAACAAGAGATTTTAACACAGAGATTAAATCATGACATCTTTCACGAAAGGAGTGGTAAGATACTCTGACCTGGATCACCTCACATCAGAGCCAGGCATAAAACTTATAGCTGCATATTCAAATTCAGGAAGTATTTAAATTTTTATGTAGCTTGATTGCTGGCAAAAAATGTTATTAAAATGAGTAATATTTGATGGAAATGTAAGCTGATTTTGTTTCTGCAATAGCTATGTAAGAATGATCAAAATAAACAAATGCAAACCAATAAAATTTCCTGAAGTGCAGTGAAAAAATACAAACAATATTTCAAAGAAAATCTTTGCTTCCCAGCCTTAGCTATACTGTGGACAGAGAAAAATACAATAGCTGCTGCAGCATGCTCAAGATTTCTGTAGTCTGAGAACAGCTTTGAAATATCACTTTTGTGCTATCAAACAAAATGTTTAAAGTAAGCTTTCTTTGTTATTGTAAGCTCCAAAAGCTTTGATCCCTCTATGTCAGAACAAGCTAGCTTTAGATTTATGCAATGGCTTTTTTCAGTAGCTAAACTATAAATTGATAAAATTATTAAATTGCTTTCTCTGGTGTAATGGTGAGCCTCAAAAAATAAATAAATAAATTCAGCACCATGAAGTTCTAGGCTGCTCCACCTTTCTGCTGTTCAAATGGAAGTACATAAATTTATGTAGCCAGCTCAACCCTCAGCAACACCATCATTTTGTCAGTGAGGCACAAACAGTGCTTTAGAATAATACTAAAAGTTAATCCCACAGCCAAAGTTCACTGCTCAAATTCCAGAATATTCTATATTCTGCATATGGAGCTCACAACACTCAAGAGTAGAACCAGATATAACTTAATGTAAATAAAGTAACTGCATTTTTTATTAACCTACTGCAGTTTAATAAAGATGTATTCAAGGCCTTATTATTGTATTCACAAATTAATATGGAATGCAGATTTAGCCTATTGTAATCAAAGTGCACAAAGCAATAAATGAGACCCAAAGTCAGAAAGGACAAGATTTATTATTGAAATCTAATTGAAAGCATAATCCAACAAATCTGGCCATAGATTTTCTGTGCTGCCACACAACGTGTGCAGCACCCACAGAAAATATTTTTTAAAGGTCATTAAAATAAAGCCCTTTTGATTTCTTCAGTTGGGAACTCATTGCACTGTTCAAACAGAGATGAAGAACTCCAGCATTATGTTTAGAGTTAACCAGTTAATCCTTGAAATGCATGACCGCCGTTCATTTTTAGTATTTGCTCGTTCCTATTTTGAAAAACCCCTCTGCAATTTCTGACATAATTTTTCTTTGGGTCAAGTTAGCGATCCAGCTCTACAAAGATTTACAAAAAGTTACAGTTTCCTGTAACTTGTACAGTGGCTTCAGATCTCCCTGAATCCAGATAAATGTTTTATAGAATCCGTTTCCAAGCTGCAAATTCTTTTGAGAATTGGCAGAGGGACTTCATAGGAGCTAAGCAGGGCAGGAAAATCTCCAGTCCCTGAATCAGATTTGCATGTCTGGGTTCTGCAGTATGAAAGCAAAGCATCTAAGAAAAGACAGAAAATCAAGAGGTGCCACAGTCTCTGGGATGTACAGTGAGGTCCCTTTCCATACAAGGAGAACCTCAGCAAATAAAGATGGCTCATTTCAATTATTTGCTGCTTGGAATGAGTGGCTGTAATTCAAGATCAAGTGTGCTGGACTCCATGGGACAGTGATATTTTATATTCCTGTGAAGAGGAAGACAAACCTCTGCCCCTTCCCATCATCTTCAGTTTCAGGTGTACATATAAAGGTGGTAATAAATAAACAAAGCAGCTAGGAAAGAAGGGACCAGTATACTGATAAGCACATCAGCTTTTCAGCCTGGTGCCAGCAGGATAAATGCAAATTCCTGGGGTTTATTTCATGGGGAATTAGGGGAAAAGTTTCCCTCCAAGACAATATTTTGACAAGGCTCAGAATTTCCTTAGGATGATCCTCGAGCAGCAGGATTTGTGACTTTTTGTCCCCTGGTGATTTCCTGCCTGCAGGATCCCCAGCTTGGCTGGCTTTGTGTGCTGTACCTGCAGGCTGAGCTGGTTCTATTTATCAGCTCAGTTATTCCCTCAGACTGCCCTGGCAATTCCTCCAGCTCTGCAGCTCATCTTTCCAAGTACCTCTGCCCCTTTGGGACCCATCTGGTTCAGTGTTTATGGATTTGCTTGGAAGGTTTTGTCTTAGCTCCTCACAGAACAGACCAGATATTCAAAAACCTCTCCTGATTTCCTGCTGAAAAACATGTGCCTTCTTCCAGCCTCAATTCTTATTAATCTGGCACTTCATCTTGCCTGTTCTTCTACTTTTGGACTTCAAAGTCTCTCCATGCAGTCCCTGCTTTTCTTCACAAACCATCTAACCATTATTTGATTTTAGGTTTGGGAGGATTTTGTTTGGCAGTTTTGATTTGATGATTCTAATATTTTTAGAATATTTTTTTATCTGCAGCTTTGTCTTATCCCAGGCCCTTTCAGAAGGATTCCCACCCACAATGTGAATTTTAAGATCTGATTACACTGCTGGCTGTCTCATTTTCTCATTGTCTTCAACTTGATCCTTATGCTCTGGAACTCAGTAGAATCCTATATTTAAATGCGCCTCTTAATGCCCTTGGACACCTTGGGTAAATTTTACCACCTTTTTATTTTTGCACTTCTCTCTTTTTGACTGGCTTGTCAGTACCACTGAAGAGGCTGTCAGGACCCACACAAAGCACGTGCATTTGGTGAATTAATATTTATGAAGACAGGCAGTGGGATGTGATTTTCATGAGAAAGGTTTCATGCTAAACACAAGGTATTTTTGTGTTAAATTGTTCATCAACAAAGAGCTAATGCATCAAGGAATGACCTTTACTTGTTCATCTATGCCATCAGTCTTAATTTAGAAACCCAGCAATGCCCTTAAACAGGATAATTATGAAGTTTAGCTCACACATAAATCATCAGTGTAAAAATTAGGCATATTTTAGCTTTCAGTTTTCATTCCATAGCATTTTGTTAGCCCAGCAAGAAGAAACTGAGGAACAGCTTGTAAATTCAGGGGGCGTCATCCTGAGTCCTTTCTTGAATTCAAAACAAGACCAAGAAATCTGGGACAGAAATGCCTCACATTATTTCCTTAATTTTGCAAAAACCTGGGTGCAGGTTTGGTGAAGTCTCATTGTCCTTGTACTGTGGGTCTGAAGTCTCACAGTGTTGTCTTATATATCAAGAGTTCTATTATCATTACAGCACAAGGATTCTATAGTTTCATACCTCCTCAATGTTTCTCACAGGCAGCTCCTCTAAGCATGGACTATTCCTGATTCTTGCAGCAGCCACCTGACTCCAGTTCCTACCAATCCACTCTTTTATAACACTGTTCTCATTTGCTACAGGTGTGGCCTGTTAACATCAGGCCTGCTCCTGATCTTTAGTAATTGGTTCAGCTGCAACTCTTTGGGGGATAAGATTACATTCAACACCACCTTCATTAACCCATGCTGGATCCCCCTACACCACAGCAGAGTGTGAGGGACCTCAGCTCCCAGCACCATTCTGGGGTTCCTGGATCCATCCCTAATGACAAAACTGATTTTGCTTCCCTTCAGAAACACACTTGCCTGAGAAAGGGGATCTAGAAGCAAATGAGGCTTATTAAACATATAAATATTGTAACATTTGCAAGGATGAGATTGTGGCTTGTGAAGCAGCTCCTGAAATACACATTACACCTAAAAATGCACTCCTCCAGGGGCACTGGGGATAGGTCAGAGCACAGGGAATCACTGCAGGTGCAAACACTGGCAGCTGAGGGACTTGCACTCCCTCAATCCTTCTCAACTGCCCAATATTTATGCAGTTCAGTGATTCCCATTTCCATGTCTGTGCCTTTTGTCTTTGTCCAACACGACCTGCTCACCCTTTTGTGGTCAGATTGAGAAATCATTCCAGGGGTGTTGTTCCAGCTACAGACACAGTGTTTGCACACGTGGACGTTGCTGCAGCTCCTTCTTTCAGCTCAGTGAGATTGTTTGTTCTTAACTTACACACTCTCAGCTGCTTACAGAGCACTGGGCAAGCGGTAGTTTCAGAGTGACTTTGAGCCTTTATAATTGCTTTTCCCAGTAGAAACTTTCTTTTTTCATCCCAGAAGAAGTGATATCCCCCTTGCCCAGCTGAACCAGTAGCAGCAATGCCATCATTCTTTCACTGGTTGCTGTGGAGGAAAGGCTGTAAGTGAACACAAACACCTGTACCATGAGCTCAGCAATGCAAATCCCATCAGGTTCTGCAGAGTTTGTGCTCCATCTGCAAGTGCAGCTGATTGTGCTGCCCTGCCCAGATCTGCCAGCTCCCCCCTTCAGGCAGCAGATTTCATCAGCAAAACTGAATTGCTCAGGAATTAGCTCAGCAGGAAAGGCTTGCTCAAAACTGGATCAATTTTATTGTTTCAGAAAGTTCCTAAGTGTACAATTTTTCCCCAGCAGACCCATCTCTCAGGGAGATATTAACTGTAATGGAACAGGCTCAATCATTCATTTCTTTATAAGATGGGCAGGCTTATCAGCATGTGGGATGGGTAGAATAGGTGAGCTGTGCAATGTGTGAAGGGCAGGCTGTCAGAATGTTCTGGGTAACCTTCACAAGCATGCCCAAATGCCTTTGATTAAGGGCTTTTCTTCTCTATCTTGTGATAAATGCTGGAATATTGATTTTCACAAGCTTCTTACTGAAGACAGAGAACATATTCCAAAATGGGATTGGAACAGTAGCTAGAGAGTAAAAACTTCAAGCTTTCACACACACACACAAACAAAAAAAGAATTAAAAACTGCCCACAAGGGAGATGAAATGAGAGTTAGTTGTAGCAATGTTGTAAATGCCTTGGAGGAGAAAGGTACTTCCTTTTAAGATCACTAAATTAAGCATAGGATGTACAAGGAAAATGTCTTTAGTATTGAAGTCTGTGGATTTCCTAAAGCCCATAATATAAATAGGGACCCAGTCTGCTAAAAGAAGTTGTCTGCCACAAACATGACATTTCTTCCCTCTCATTTTGTGCAGCAGGTGTCTATAGCATCACTTAATACAACAACAAGTTGTTTGCATAAGATTCATCCTCTTTTAAAGAGGCCCCTCTAGGCATGTTTGGGAAAATTCCACAATCTGATTGCTGGTTTCTCCTTTCACTCCAGAAACAGGGATCCTGAGTTCTGGCAATCATTGTATTCAGAAAATAAACTGATTTAGTTAAACAAAACAGATAACAGAGACACACTGAGATTGCAAAAAAACAAGGGTTTTGGACCTGAAATGATGCTTTAAAAATATCCACAAGGCTTATACTCCATTTCTTTGCTCAAACATCTGCATGTTGCTTTGTCTTTTTTATATAGAAAATGGGGAATAAGCATTGATAGAAACACCAATATTTTCCATGAATCTAAATTTCAAAAGCAGACAGAAGAATTCTGTGATTTTTTTTTTCCATGCTCATGTCTACAGCTAAGAGGTCTCAGTTACCCAGTCAGACATCAGAAGGAATAACATGAAATGAAGGTGGTAACTCCCCACCAGAACCAAGGCATGTGGATGTTGGTGGAGCTCAGCATTTGGAATCTCTGCTGCTCTCCCAGCTGTGCAAAACTTTTTATTGCTATTCCACCTGCTGCGCATAGCTTAAATTCTGTGTCTTCCAGAAAACCAGGGTGAGATCCCACGTGACACTGATCCCAGAATCAGAGGGGTCCTGTTTGTTAAAGCCTCATGCAGAGCCTGATGACCAATGGAAAGATTTCTTTTGATTTTGACAATTTTATATTTCATCTCCTATGGATCCAAAGAGACATCTTGTCTTCCTCTTCTGGCAGGTGCTGGCTCAAGAAACAGCTTCAAAATTACCCCTCTTTAAATATCACAGAAACTTATTCCCACACAAGTTCCAAAATTTCAGGGCTATTCATTCCAAATGAACTCTTGACTGGATCTTTCTAGTACCAATTCTAACAGTTGAATCTTATACAATCAATTAAATTTCTCATTTCTTCTTCATTACAATGGCTTTCTCTTTTATTCTCTGTTCATTATGTATATATTGTTTACAAGATAACACTTTAATCTTCCTCCCATTTCTAACAGTTCAGTCATGCTTATACAGTACAAACTTGATTTAATTTCTTAGCAAGGGCCACAGGGAAATTGAAGAGGTGCTGTTCATTATCCTGCCTTGTAATTATGTTTCTAGCTCTGCTTTCTAAAATAGCTCTTGGGTGCCTCTGTTTCTGGGACTGTTTTAAATCTGATCAGTGTCTCATTACCTGACATGTTTTAAACTGCTGAAACAGATAAACCCAACTTGGGGACTGCTCACTCTGTGTCCAGAAATTTTAAGTAGGAAAAGGTGTGAGGCAATGCATACAATGATATGTGAATTCCATGCTGGATTTGGTTTCTTTGAGCTTTGTGATGTTATTGCTAGCACAGAACAATCCATGCAGTTTCATCCACTTTTAATAACACTGCTTAACTCCATGGCATCCATCACAAAGACAGTATACACTTGATTATATTGCTAATGTTTGAATTTCCTAACAACATTTCAAAGAGCTAACAACTGCCTGGCTAATTTTGTGGTGTATGAGGGAGACTGAGGCATTTTTCTTAAAATGGGACAGATTTCCAGTCTTCCCTTTGAACATAACCCCTTGGAAAAGGGTTCTATTCCCCACTGAGGAGCAAATCCAACTGAGTGCACCAGGGCACAAATTGCTGAAATCTGCAGAGCTGCATAAGGAGATGACAAGCATGAGAAATAAAACCCCTTTACTGCAAAAAAGAGTTCATTGCTGCCCAGAGGACTTCAGACTACAGAAAAGGGATAAAAAAATAACTCTCAAGGGAAAGAAAATCTGACCTCCTGATCTTCCTTCCAATGGGCTGATGGAGAATCCTCGTGGTCAATGCCATGAGGGTTCTGAGAAATATTTCAGCCTGGCATCTCTCAAATCTCCCCTGGACATGACACAGATTAGATCACTGCCAGCTTTGCTATTTTCAAAAGAATTGTCTTGGCTCTCTACATCTGTGCAACCTGTGCAATGCTAAAAATGAGGAAGGAGGTAGGGGTTGGTCACTCCTCACATTTGTCTTGAAGCAGTCATCAAAACTGGCATTTATTTGTCTCCCTTTGTGCTACTTTCTGTAATGGCAAACCTTCAACCATCAGAAACTGGACTGAAAACAATATTACATTCTGCCTCGAGGTAAATTTGTCAGATTAGTGGTACCTATAAAAGAAATAGTGGCTCCTTAAATTACTGACTCCAGGCTTTGTACAAAATGCAGCTCCACAAGCAAACCTGAGTTTTGGTGTCTGTGGTGCAGAATAAATGCACAGTGCAGGGAGTCCCTGCCAGGATCTGCAGACTCTCTTTGCAGCAACAGATAAGTGGTGTCATTTCCCTCATGTTTTCTCCTCTACCTCATCTGACCCAAACTCTCTGACATCAAGAAATTGCGGGTTAAAGAGCAGAGTGAATTAGGTATATATTTTTTTTTTTCTCCTATTGGAGCTATTCCACTGCATACCTGATTCAATATTCCCTCTGTCCTTGAGATGCATCTCAGACTCAAATCTCAGCCTTGCCCTGAGAGCACTCCAACCTGTAGGCTGCAAACTTAATTGTGGACATCTTCATTTCATTCCAAATCAGTGAGTGCTTAATTAATTTTACAAACCTCTGCAGCTATTTCAAAGTTCTCCTCAGTGATTTCCTGTAACCCTCCGAGAGCACTTTTCTGGAGCACAAGGGATGTGGTTTAGACCATTTTGCACAGGAATTAGAGGAAGACCTTCTCTCATAACTCAAAGGAGTGTTTTAAGAAATGCATCTCATAAAGCAAAGGCCCCTTTACAAACTTTAATGAGTAAACTGCACAGAAAAAAGAATCCTTAAGTATTCACAATCATGAATGCTGAAAAAAATTAATGTTTATCACAGAAAACAATTCAGTAAAAGCAAAGCATGACAAAGGACACTGAGTAAAACCCTAGGATGGAAGCAGCAGAAATAAGGTGAATATCATGTTCCAGTCCCTCAAAATTTCTTGCCTGTGGCTGGGACTCATTTTTTTCCCCCAGGGATTGTCCTTACTCCCCTGTTCTTGGCAAAATCTACACTCATGATTTTATCCCGCTGATAATATATTTGAATTTAATGCCAAGAGCACTACAATGTGATAATAAGATACATTACTCAAATACTTTTGGAAAGATATAGTTATCAATCCACCAGAAGCTGTAGCTGCAATTTTTCCATGGGCTGTTCAGAGAGAACAATGG